TGTGTGTGTGTGTGTGTGTGTGTGTGTGTGTGTGTGTGTGTGTGTGTAGACGCCTTTTTTCCGCTGAAGGATCTCCAGTTCCCGTCTCCTGGGAAACCACTCTTTTAATCAGGCTGCCAGGGCTTTAGGGCACTGCTTTCCATACCGCACAGCGCTCCACCATCGTGTTTACCACTTTATCTTTCATCTCAGCACAATAAGCTACTTCTACTCTTCTTCTCTTTCTTTGGCCATTGTTGTAAATCTCTAGTTTCTTTTTTTGTTTTGGACTCCATCTTCTCTGTACTCAACTGGACTATGATCTGATCCCAGACGATTTCTGCTCAGCGCTCCTACAGTAAAGCCAGACAGTATGAATGAATATTTTTCATAGAAATAACAATATATTTCAGAAACTTTCCTTAAATCTATGTTTAAAGCTTCTTGTTACCCCCAGGCTTCATTATTAGCAAGCTGGCAAAACCAAAACATTTCTCTTTCCCATTGGTCCAAATTTCTCCTCATCCAGTGGGGGTACAAATTTCTCTCCTCATTATTCTGTTCACTGTTCTCTTCCTTCCCCTCTCTCCTTCCTCTCTCTATTCTCCTCCATCTCTTTGAGTTGATTCTGTGTGACTGGGGCTCTATTGTGTCTGGCCATCAAACACATTGCATACAGCCACCCATGCAGAATACACACATACACACAAAGACATGCTTATTGGAGAACCTCTCAGTTTGTTGATCCTATTAGGTTTACTCAATCTACTTTTTATTTCAATGATCATCTGAAAGAAGAACATAGTGGACCACAGATTGCAAAAGCTAATAGTTAACCACACTGTTTTGATGTGCAGTGTAATTTTAAATATGTAGTGAGTGTCGCAAAGGGGGAAAATATATTTAAAACAAAATAAACAAATAAGTTGTGATTTGTAGAAAGCGGATATAAAAACAAGTCAAGTTTAAAAGCCAAAGAATAAAACATGGTTTTAAAAATGTTGGTGGTGATGAAGCCAGCTGTTTCAATTTTTTAGGCTCAAAGAAACAATCTCCCCTATGCTTTAAATATGTTTAATTTAATTCAGAAAAGGTCAGATTTGGTGTAGTTTGGAGGAGAGGCAATTTTAATGATTAGAATTATTGAGTGGTGTAATATATTATTATATATCTTCATTTTCTATATAAAAAAAGAGTTCATCTGAGAAATCTTCATCAATATTGGGCATCAAGTGTTGCTTTAGGGCTTCTGCGGCAGTAAAAGACAAGCAATCAAAATGACTGGCAGGTGGTGTAGAACAGCGGTCCCCAACCCCCGGGCCTCGGACCGGTACCGGTTTGTGAGTCGTTTGTTACCAGGCCGCGAGGGTTGAGGCTCAGGTGTGAAATTTATGGTTTTCAGGGTTTTTATTGGTTTTTATCTTTATTTTTTTTTAAATAGTTTTTATCATAACCCGGTTTCCTTTTTCCCGTGTGTTATGAATATATCTTCTGTTTTTTGGTACCAGTACTGGTTTTATTTTGTTGTATTTATCCGCAACACCTTAAAGGCCGGTCTGTGAAAATATTGTTGGGCATAAACCGGTCCGTGGCGCAAAAAGGTTTGGGGACCGCAGGTGCAGAACATGTAATATTCAGTATAACCTGCTGATATGTTTTGAAGCTTCAACAGTTTTTAAACCCAGGGGTATACATGGGTATACATGAGCATTAAGATTTGTTTGTAGTCCATCTTCAGCACATCATAGTTTCACCACAACTGCGCTTCCACTTGGCTCAGTAATTTGAGCCAAGTGGAAGTTCGATCTTCTGAGCGCTGTGTTTGTCTTTTCCTCCTTAATATCTTTCCCATCCTCCCTGTGTCGTTTTCCATTGAGATCAAGGAAAAGTGGTTTGGAAAAGGTATAGGAGGTAATTTTGGGTCTGTTCAGCCATAGCCTTGGTTTGTTAGCCATGGCTCATTGCAGAAAATTACAATGTGGTGATTACAAGTGGAAAGTTACATTAAAGCCAAAACCATTAATTTTAAAGAACATGTATTATATATTTTTCTATGGTGATAAAGAACTCCACACTGCTTTCCATTTCCCTCACTTAACTAATATAAAATAAATCAATCAAAGGATAAGTAAATAAAAAGACACTTTAAAACCTCACAGAGGATCAACTTTACTGCTGTAACTGGAAAAGACTTGGAAAGGAAACACCAGGATCCTACCATGAATAGGATTCGATGAAAAACACAAACTGGGTGTACTGGGTCTGCGTAATGTAACACAACCTAGAAATTATCATAGCCACAAGTAATCATTATGCACACAAGGACCACCGGGCATTCATTTTGTAAACTGCTCATACAGCACAAATGCCTGAAATTAGGTGAGTTACATGTCTGCTAACCACAAGGCTGGATCATTAAAATTCACTTTGCTGTAAAGGGAATATTTGAAGAACGAAGCGCAGGAACGTACTGTAACCCTTGTAAAATTACCGATTAATATACTCATTTCCTTTTATAATGCAACAATCAGAAAATAGTGAAAAATGTGTTTAAGTTTTCCTGAAATACTAGTACCTTTATTTTATTAACTACTGTACTATGAAGGTCTCATACTATGAATAAATTGTTATAAATCATAATAAATTGTAATAGTAACAGACCTGTTGTTCTCTACCGGTTGTTAGTTGTTAGTTCCTGATCCTTGAAGAAACATCTGCTTTCCATCTGTCCTTGCAAAGTGCTGATAATCTGTTATTCCTGCAGATACTGTAATAGATTTATAAATTATAGATCCACTCCTAAATATTTTATAGACTGAGCTGACACACTTTAAAGACGGGAGGAAATGCTTCCCAGAAACTGTAACGTGTAACTCAGCACAAAATACAGAACACAAACTTTCATTTGTTGACTTTGGTTTTACGAGTAGCGGTTGGTTGCAGAAGGACTCCACACTGGATTCCTGAAGTTGAATAGACCAGTACAATGCCAGGGTTTAAGTATTGCTGTGTAAAGCAAATTAAACACTGGATAAAAGCAGTAGTTCCAGCTGAGAGCTGCAAGATTTCAGTTAGTTTTGTTCAAATCAAGCAACTTTTTCTATTTAGAACAATTAATTTCGCACTGCAGAATTTAATTTAAACTGTTACCACCAAAAGGTAGCACTCGACTGGTGGGTGTGTTAAGATACTTTGGATCTGAGCTTCTGTTTCACTTCTGATATTTATTTTTAGTCCTACTCATATTTCCTTGAGTATTTAGTAGTTTAGTTAAATACAAAACAAACATTACTCACTGCACCACCTTATGGTAAGGACTGGTATTGCGCAACGTTGTTAACATGCTAAATATCGTGTACTTGAATTTACTTGAATACCTTTTATCTTGTAGGACTATGGCTGCTAACATGGGGTCCATGCGTATCCTCATCAAGGGGGGAAAGGTGGTCAATGATGACTTCACCCAGGAAGCAGATGTCTACATCGAGAACGGCATCATACAGCAGGTAAATCACTGTTATGTACACATGTTAAATGTGCACATGTGTAAATGTATTTCTACTTGCAAGCACATTTTTCCACGTGTCATACAGTAAAAACTTTTCATCACTTTCACACTTTCGCTGTCCAGTATATCTCCTCCAGCTGTTAGCATGACTCATTTCACAGTAATAGCATGAAGAGAACCACTCGGTCAACTCTGTGGCTCCAAACCATGGTACTATAATTATCTCACACAGTGTTGTCATGGAGATAAGCATCGGTTTATGTGGCGAGGACGCCTTTGAATCAGCTGTACTGAAACGTTCCAGTGTTGCTGCAGCTGTTGAGCATTTACACACTCTCTGTCAGTGCTTACTTCCATCACCACTGACAACAACAGCTATTTTTTTGCAGTATTTAAAGTGTCGAAGCTGAGCGAGTCATACTGTAACCAACACGTTCTCAGTCCCAAAGCGTAACACTTTACGCTAACAGTTCTAATATTAAAAATGGGCAAAGTTCTGAATAGTGAGGTCAGCGTGTGTAAGCATGCAGCCTGATCTAAGCTGTCATACAAAAGGGGAACATCTCAGGCTGTGAGACCTTTTTGTGAGTTTGTGCCAATCAGAAGAAAACCACCTAGAAGTTGAGTTAAACTGCAAATATGCACAGCTCCTCTGGTAAGAAGAAAAGATTACCAAGTGTACTAATGTTCATGTCAGCCTGTTTAATTGTCAGCATTATCACAAAAACAGTTACCAAAGTAATTAATAGTCATTCTCTATGGACTGTGAAAGTATGTATTTCAGTGTGGATGAAAATGTCAGATTGGCTAACAAGCAATAGATGACACATTCATGCTTAGAGCTATAAAATCAATGTCAATTTTATTTATATATCACATTTCACACAGTTATAAATGACCTCAATTCAGCAGGCAGCTTGTTCCAAAGAACAGGACCACAGTAATTGAAAACACCCTCAGGAGCACATCTAATTCTGCACCTGATTACCTAAAAAATAAAAATCTGAAATTAGTTTGGTTTAATTTACCAAACAAAATCCCTAAGACAAAGAACCTTGAATAACCTTAAATTTAATGTATTAAACAATAATTAATGGATAGTATTAAAAGTAAATGTTTGTTTCCTTACATCTTGGCCTGATATAGGCCCAGAGTTTGGTGGTAACGCAGGTTGCAATTAAAAAATATGTATCCCCCTACCGGGGGCATGGAAAATAGCTACTTGAGGTTGCTAGGTGAAACTAATTGTAAAGAGATAAAGAGTGATGTAATGAAAACCTCCTTGTTATTGCTTTCCTCACTAGTAGATTGCCACAGTTGCAGTCTGCATGGAAGACTTTCTCTGCAAACACTCGTCATTTATGGCCCTTTTATGGTCGCCGTTCTCGCACGAACTGTACTGTACAGCAAAAGTGAAGTCGCATTCCCTGGCACAAGCTGCGTGATTTCTTTGCTTCCTGGTTTTCCCTTCTTCTCGTCCTGTCCAGCGCTGATGTGGTTCCGTCTGAGTGACTCTTTGTGTGCGAAGTGACTAATATGGCAAGCATAAATGGGTCCTTACGCTCCTTAACAAGAAAAACAAAACAAAAATATTAAAAAAATATAGCAAGCAAGAAACTAAACCCCAAGTTGCTTCTGATGTGTTCATCAGAGTGTATGATCAAAGGCTTTTAGACATAGAGTAATAGTAGCTCAAAAGCACTATAAAAGAACCAGTGCTTCAGAAAACTTAAAAAAGTCTGGCCTTTTTGGAAGCAAAATAAAAAGAAATTTGCACAGTGATTTACATCTTGGTGACCAGTTTCAGCTAGAAACGATTACTGTGTAGCTGGGCCTTTAATAAAATAAAGTGATAATAATGTGAAAATAAAGTACTGTAATTCGTGTGTTTGTGTTTTCTGTGGCAGGTTGGAAAGGAGCTGATGATACCAGGCGGAGCTAAGGTGATAGATGCCTCTGGAAAGCTGGTGTTACCGGGCGGAATTGACACCAGTGTCCATCTGCAGGAGACCTTCATGAACGCCACCATCCAGGACGACTTCTACAGTGGGACCAAGGTACACACGCTGTAAACACACTGCTCAAACACACTCACACACAGGGCTTTGCTGTGAGCAGGCTCGTCAGCATGCCTGTGATTAAACACATTTCAAGTCTGCAGACAGCTGTCATGCTTTCTCTGTGACTCTGACGTGTCTGCAGTGAAATACTGAGTCCTGCTTTTAGCTTCATCAGGACTAATGACCACATGTTTTCTCACATTGGTCTTTCAGGAAGCAAACACCTGTCAGCAGTTTGTGGTTGAAAGCAGAGACTTATCTTTTTCAGACACACATTCACACAGCTGTTTAGTTTTCATCTGTTCTGGGTGTATTTGTTAATTTCCTATGAATGTCCTGCATGTTTTCCACTGAGAGCCCGAGCAGCGAGGATGATTTCATAATTAAGAGGTTAAGAGGTGTTATTGTTGCCTGCAGTGGTATGCATGTGTTGGAGGATGTTCTCAGCTTGTCTGTTTAGATGCTGCTTGGCATGCCTGACAGTTTTAGTCAAGGGCGTCAGCTGTGGACGCCAACAGTACAGTATCAGCAAAAGATAGTCATGTGACAAAAAGTCAAAGTATATGTGTGTGTTGTTGTAGGTGATTGCTTCATCAGACACATCTAATAATATATTACATGATAAATGTAACGTGGAGTCCCCAGAAGATGATGAGTACGTTTATTTTTTGTTATTTGGCTCTGCTAGTGTACATTTGCATGATTCACAGTTCAAAATGACCGTATGTACAAATGGATAAATACAAATGTGTCTTTCACTGGGCCTTTGTTGAACCCTTCTGCCTGAAACAATCCCCTTTGCCCTGCTTCTGATTGGCTCTCCCTTAAACAAAAGCTTGGAACAGTAGGCCAGAACTGTGGCTGAGACCATATTAAGGATACATTTACATCATACAGAGCAAAGAGTAGAAAAAACTGTCTGAAACAGAGAATTTAAATCTGAAATCTGAACTTACGGCTCACTGGGATTATTTAGGACTGCGCCAGGTGTCACTGACAGTGGGCTGATCTATTTGAATAAATCTGTGTTGTTCTGTGCTCACGTGTTCATACGCCAGCAGCAGTGACCCAGCTGATAGCAGCAGAGCTAACGTAGCACCGAGGAAGTTGCAAAGGGTCAGCAGTTTGGAGGTTTTTCACGCCTCTGGGGCCAAC